AAATCGGGTTATTAAATAAAAAATTAATCTATTAGTATAAAAAAAATTATACCCGCACACGGTGCGGGTCAATCATCTAGTATCCTTTATTCAATGTGACAAACAAATAAGCACACATATAAAACCTAAACTCAAGTATCATAACGAGCCATTACAACAAACAAAACCTATCATCATAATGGAGTCGAAGAAGGAGACGATCGGTTCAGAGGAAACGACTTACTTCGGTTCAAAGCGGCAGATGCACGCCTCCGACCTGATTCCATTGGTCTTAGAACGCTTGAACTTTGAAGCTTTACATAAAGCAAGGTCAATCTCTTTAGATTGATATTCCACTGCGGAATTAAGCATCAGACAAAACCCAACTCCATGGATCATTCTGTTTTCGAGCAATAATGATGTTTCTTGTAAGTTGTTTGATCCTAATCATAACAAAACCTACTTAGTAAGAGATCTAGGGTTTGGTTTCCATATGAGTCAGTGTTTGGCGAATTGATGTTATACCATAGAACAAATTTTCATCTTTTGAATATGTTTTCTCGAGAGAGGATTCGTCTTCCGACCTTGGAATCAATTGATGGATGGCAGATGAGGTTCGATAGGGTCGGCAAGTCTGATTTCGTGGTGACCTTACGTGATGAAGCTTCTCGAATTTCGTCTATTAGTACTAGCAAAAAAGTTAGGATCCGCAATGCGGTTTTGTGGGTAGATGAAAGAAGCATAGATTACTTTGTTGTGTGGTATTTTGATGGGTTTTTTGCATATTACAAGAGAGGAGATAGTAACAAGACCTGGAAAGTGCTTCGACATGAAAGTTGTGTCGATATAGTGTTCAAAGATAGGAAGCTTTACGTGCTTGGTAGTCGAAACATCACTGTTTTTGATTTCTCCGTTGGTGATATTCCATAGGAATGTTCAAGTTTCCCACTTCCGGATAATTATCATCAAAAGTATTTCAACAATCTTGCTGTGACTTTGTCCGGAGAAGTTTTAATCATCTCAAGTATCGGGAAATCCTTCTACAGCTTCTACAAGATAGATCGTGATTCATCAGGATGGAGCGAAATAGAGTCTCTAGGTGATGAAGCATTGCTTTTGGATCAAGGAATAACCGTTGCAGCCAAAGATGGAGTTATGAAAAATTGCATATTTTTTAGTAATGATCAATTTCGTAGATACGAAGGGATGGGACTACCCGGCGATGATAACCGTATTTGCGTCTACAATATTCAAACTAAGAATGTAGTCCAAGAGTTTCCACATCTTACTGATTCGTCACCAATACCTTTCAAGGATGCTCGTTGGTTTTTCCCCACTTTTGGTGGAAAATGGTTGCTTTAATGCCTATTTCATCAAGTTGTTTTTTCTTAAGAGTGAA